AAAAAAAAAAAAAAAATTTCATTATTCCTCTACCCAAACTTTATGATAAGTATTCTTATTTAGAGACAGTATCTCACACCATCACCCATACTGAAGGGCAGTGGCATGATCACAGCTCACTATAGCCTCGACCTCCCAGGCTCGTCATTCTCCCACCACAGACTCCACAGTAGCTGTGTCTGCAGGTATGTGCCACCATGCCCAGCTAATTTTTGTATTTTTTGTAGAGAAGGGGATTTCACTGTGTTGTCCAAGCTGGTCCTGAATACCTGGGCTCATGTGGCCCACCTGTCTCGGCCTCTAAAAGTGCTGGGATTACAGGCCTGAGCCACTGCATCTGCTGTCATTCTAAATTTGATGTTTCTCCGTGTTTCAATTTTAGCAGAAATCATATGGCTTTGAAACAGTCTCTTTTCAAACTTATGTCTTATCCTTCTGAGTGTCTCAAAGTAGAGCCTGTTTAGGCATGTTATAACAAATTCGTACCAGTTTATTAAGGTGCTGGGGTGTGAAACTGATGCACAATTTTCTCATAATACATATTTTTTCTTAAAATTCTTGAAGACCCCTTGTACTAGAAAATTGTATTCAAGAGGATATAAAAAGAATTGTGGATACTCAAGCGTCAGTTATTTCTGGGATGCAAGGATGGTTCAACACATTCAAGCAAATCAATGTGATACACCACTTGAACAGAATGAAAGACGAAAACCTCATCATCTCAATAAATGGGGAAAAAAGCATTTCACAAAATACAACAACCAGTCATCATAGGAATCCTAAACATAGAGAAGGAAATTCACCCCAACAATATAAAGACCATCCATGAAATGGCCACAGCAGAAATAACCAATCAAAATAAATGGAATGCTCTTCCTGTAGGATCTTGCATGATCTAAGAATGCTCTCTCCCCTTCCATTCAATAAATACTAATGTCCTGGCCAGAGCAATTACATAGCAAAAGAAATAAAACTAATCCAAATCAGAAACAAGTACAACTATATTTGTTTGGAGATGACGATCTTCTCTAGAAAATCAGGGCCAACCAAATTCTACTGGAACTAATTAACACACTTAGTGTATTTGCAGAATACAGTATCAGCATCAAAAATTAGTTAAATTTCCATGCATTAACAATAAAAAATTTTAAAAGAAAATTAAGAAAACACTTCCATTTGCTAAAGAACTTAAGAAATACTTAGGATAAGGTCGGGCATGGTGGTTCATGAGGTCAGGAGTTCGTGACCACCCTGACCAAAATTGTGATACCTGTTTCTACTAAATATACAAAAATAAGCTGGGCATGGTGGGCGTGTGTCTGTAGTTCCAGGTACTCAGGAGGCTGAGGCAGGAGAATCGCTTGAATCTGGGAGGCAGACGTTGCAGCAAGCCGAGATTGCGCCATTGCACTCCAGCCTGGAAAACAGAGCAAGACTTCGT